CCCGCCCCCGCCCGCGAGCTGCGCGCTACTTGTGCATCCGCCAGCGTTGCCAGGCTGCGCCTCCGCTCGGCCAAATAGTGCTAGGAGATGAAGTTCTACTGGTGGTCTAATAGTGCTTGGAGGAGGGTCCGAGAAAGAAGGGGAAGAAACAGAAGGATTTTGAGAAGGACTCTGAATATAAAGTAGGGTGAAAACGCCGAGTCTGTGATTCAATTCGAACGAAAAATAAAGTGTATTAAAACTATGGGAAGTAGCGCTGTTTTTTCTTAAGTAAATGTTTATACTATATTTTTCCATATTTTATTTCTGTGTGACAACAAATTATGCTCGAATTCGTTTTGTTCATCTTCCGTACGGACGAGCGGTTCTTGATTTGCTTCTTACCATCCAGTTGTGATCACTTTTTATGCATAATGTGATAGGAGATTGTTTTGCTGAGTTTTGACGGCATTTTCGAATAGAATTTTTAAACTGTGCAAGCAGATGTAGATCATTTCTTTTTCTGTTATCATCAATGTAAGGGTTGAATGAGAAGCAGGACGATTTGATGATCCACAATGTATGGAAGACAGTTTTGTGTTTATTGCTTGCATTTCCACCGAATGAATTTCACACTGATTCGTTATGTAAATGATCCAAAAATATTTACTTTTCGCAAAAAGCAATTGCTTTAAGATGTATCAATTGCAAAGTCTAACTGGTAAGACTCATTTACAATTGGCAGACTTTTTTTCGTTTTCTATTTCTTTTCCCTACGGTCTCTTTCACTCCCTTATTTTCACCGGTTTTTTAGATGTAGGTTTTCGTTTCCTGTGTGTCTTTTCATGCCTTTTAGTCGAGTTCATTATGTTATGAATACCGTCGTAAAAAATGAAAGTAGAATTGTGTAGGCTTGAGAATTTTGTCGTTGTTAATAATGCCTGTTACGAAAACAGTGTGAACGGGGCTTCTACTGTTCGTCGTGAAAATAAATGTCGGTTTGGCAACCATCTCCTCGGAGGTCCTCGCGCTGTCATCTAATGCGGGAGCCAAACGCACCGGTGATCTGTGGTTGAGCCGCGGGACGGATTTGGTTCTCTCCGGTAGCCAGAATTGGAGCCACTAACTCTTACACGAGCCCCGAATGCGTTTATAAAGAATTCAGGGCAAAGCTCTTTGAAATAAACGGAAGCGAATTTTTATTCAGAAAACATTCGTCATGCCCTCCAAATCTGATATTGTATTTAAATTTCTTAAGTTCAGTCAAAGGAAAGGAAAGGAGGAAAATAAGGAAGAAAGGAGGAACTTAAGGAAAATCCTGGAACAAAAAGGAACGCATGAAATTGTATTATATATTATTCTTTATTTTAACCTATTTGCAAATTCCATACGAAGCCACATCCACCGGGGCTAACGCGAATTATGCCGTTCATGTGACTTGAAATCCACTGCCTGGCGGGCTTCGTGCCAAACGATTGTTTGGCATACCTGTGCGAGGATCTATGAAGAGATGGGATAGGATGTGGAAGGTAGATGCTAAAGGATGTGGCAGCGGGATGAGACCAACTGAGGTGAAGAGGGGGAGAGGTTTCAAAGAATAAATAGGAAAATGGAGCGAGGCGATGCAAATCTTGGGGAAGTGGAATGAAATGGAACGCGATAGGGAAGGCAGAGACGAAGACAGTCTAGTTTAAATACGAGTTCGTTCTGAGTGAGACGAGTGGCCGGAGAATGGCAGTTTGGAGACCACGAAATGAAATGAGAATGGTCAAGTAATAGAGCACCAAAGTGAATCCGTACGAAGGTGGAATACATTGGGTGGAGTGGATCGCAATGAGAAAGAGAGATGGGACTGAAGAGAAGACAACGGAGCAGAGGACGCTCGGGGAAGAAGGTGGTGGAGCGCAGCCGGACAAGGCGAGGTGAGGTGAATCCGGCCAACGCGAGATGCGAGATGGAACCGGGGGAGAACGGTTTCAACTAGGTGTACATGAGCGAGCGGTATGGGAATCTGGCGGGACGGGGAGAAACAGGGTCGGGCAAAGCTTGACGGAGGTGGCGGGCAAGGCGGCGAAAGGTGAAGCGGGACCGGGAGGGTGGGATTGAGCGAAGGGGTGACAGGAAGAGCGGTGCGAGGGTAGACAGCAAGACTGGTGGAGTGTGGTGTGAAGAAGGAACGGGAACGAGGAGGGATTGGCGATGCAGGTTCGAGCGAAATGCAGGGCAAGCGAAAGGTAGGGAGGACCGCATCAGGACAGGGAGGGATTGGGCAGAGTGGTGCTGTGCAAGGGGGAGGATCAGAACTGCATTGAATTGCGAGAAGCGGTATGGGGGGGGAGGGGACGAGACTGGCGGAGCGGGAAGGACCGGGGGCGAGCCAGCCGACGAATCGCAGGGCAAGCAAAGGGCGGGGAGTGCCGAAACAGGTCAGAGTTGGCCGTGGCGGAGGCGGACGGCGCTGCTCAGAGAGGCTCGCGGCGGATCGGAGCGGCTCGCGGACCACCGACCGGCTGCCGGGCCTGAGCGCGAGCCTGCCTGGCCGAGGCTGCTGTCTATTTCCCACCGGCAGCCTACTTTCGCCGGCGCGAAGAAGGCAGGATGCGATATTCCTGCTGATGTGTGCGAGTATCGAGCGTGGAGAGTATTTTTACTCGCGCGCCGTATTTACAGCATCAGCGGCGGTGGCGGCCTCCGACTCCGGGCCGACGCCCTCCCCCTCGAGGAGCCACTTCCGGTCACCGCCCTCCTCCGGAATGCGGTGTCCCATTCACGTTATTGATGAGGGAGCAAGAATTTGGGAGGCGATCTGAAGAGGGAAGGTCGTATATTACAAATAATCAAATACCAGACGAACGATCCTCATTCACCAATGGGCTGGGAAGAAAGAGAACAAAGGAGCAATTGGACCATTTATAATCACAGACTGTGCTTACACACACCTAATGTACAAATACATTGACGGTGTTTGGAAAAAGCCGTTATAAATTAAAGTATTCTCTTACAATTTGTGTTAATTATAAATTTATTCTATAATGACAGTATCCGTTCGTGCAATTGATCGAATAGAATAATGAAAACTAAAATAGAAGAAACGCATTCTGGAAATTGCGAGATGAATGTATCCATACAAGTAACCTTCTTGCCAGTGTTTTTAGTACGTTTGTAGTATAGTCTGTAATATTGTTCTCATTGATATTAATGTTAAGATATTTTAGAGTCGGTTCATAGTCACAATTCTTGTATCATGTTCAGGAGGTTCATGTTCAGCGACGTAAATATTATTGTCTGCCTTTGCTTTAAGTCTCATTCAGTTTCCGGTAATCAATGAGTAGATGTGGTGAAAAAGGTGTTGGACTTCTCGGTATCTGATTGAAAATTGTGTCCTCTTACCTCTATTGGGGTGCGATCTTGAACCGAATTCACTAATACAAACTTCAGAAACCATTTCAAAAACGTGTTCGTATTCCGAATATCCCCGACCAGATGGGCAGGTGGTAAAGAGTATTTGAACGATTCACGTCTACCCTGGTTTCGAATGTAATAGCTAATGTGACAAGCTACTAATCATATTGTAGAATGCTTTGTTGATTAGTTTATTGAATTGTATCTTTATGTGGTCTCTGAAAAATATTCTTATGGTAATAAAAAAAATAACCATTAACTGTTCGCGGTTTTTCTTATTAATCACAGAAACTTCAAACACTCATCATTGAAATATGCAACTGCAGTCGCTAATAATATTGCAGTTTTAAACAATCTAAAATTGAAAATACTTTATTTAGAAATTTTGTTGAATACTTTTTTAAAAACTGTGCTATTTAACGGTATGTGAATGTCTGTGCTTCATAACGTCCTTGTCCTGTTACAGCACGGCGTGGGCGTGGAGTTCGTCCGCATCCTGCCAGAGACCCACCCTCCGACCCTCAACAACGTCTTCTCCGAATGCGACTCCAAAGACGATGTGGTGAGTAAACGCCCCTTTTTATTTTTTAAGGTCGCCTCAACATCTAGGTCATTAGCGACCTCCGTTGCACTTAACTGTATGACATGGTAAGGTGAATGATAGGGGGTGAAAGGACCAACACAAATACAACGCGGGACTTGAACCCGCGATCCTTCGGTCCGAGATCGCTTCGGCATTACTAACTTAACGATCTCGGCCACCGGGACCGGCTAAACGCCTCTTTGTTAGTTGGATCGTTAAATCATACTTACCTTTGAATGGCATCGTGGAGTGCGGGTGATTCATAATTATCTTCGATGTTGTGGTAATGTTACTATTATGCAACATTTTTTAAATATTTTGAGACTGGAAAGATTTGTATTGCGACTTGTGTCATGGTAGATCTCGCGTAAAACCAATATCCTTAAGTTGAGATAATATATGTACTCGTACCATGCTTTCGTTAGGTGATGTGTTAACTCCTCTATAACATCTAGTAACTCTGTTGGAAAATTTGAATCTTTCCCAGAGAGTCTCCCTCGGTCATTCGCGGTGAGCTGGTGTTTACTTCAATTACTTTGAAACTGATCTCTCTCTCCGTGATATTAAAAAATTGTTTATCATATTTTAATGTTACGATTTTTGTTCGGCGTGTCCAATTAATAATTCAATGAATGTAAAGGGCGAGAATATTTGACCTTCGTGTTTACTACACTTTTACAATATCAGTTTGGGGACAATATTAAAGGAAATGTTTCTGTCAGTCGGTGCTAAATAGATAATATTCGAATTACAGAGAACAAACTGCCTAAACTGAAGTAGAGTATTTTTGTAAAAAAAAGCTGAATCGTATGGTTAGATGGAACATACATTCAATACGAGTACCTAATTACGAAGCAATACTTTATTAGTACTTCCGCGAGGGAAGTGGTTAAAGATAAGCTGTAGTCTGCATTTTGCTGTAAAATGCATTGCATTGATTTTCACGATGTTGCCGAGCACACCAACTACTACAGTCATTTTTCCCAGTCAGTGTTTTATTTCGGGAGGTGGCAGGGTTTCTCTCTAATGGATGGTGTAATCCGGCGCCGACGTACACGTCCCTCTCCATGTACCTCTCGGAGTGTGACACCACCTCGGCCGGGACAAGCTCTAATCTCCAGATATGTGCTATAGAAGCCCGTGTGTTAGAGCACTACTTCTGTTTCGCGTGGTATTAATTGGAGAAACCACGGAAAACTACCGATGAGAGCTGCAGACCACTAGAATCGTCCTTCTCGAATCGAATTGGCTGGATTCGACCAAGCTATTTAGTGTCAAAAATCTGCCACTGCCTGGACTCGAACCGTAGGTCCTCTCGATCAGAGTCACTGCAGAGTCAGTGCCAATGCTGACTCCATGCTAAACTCAGCCAGCAATTGTAGGAAAATTTGGCTGCACTCAAGGTCGTTTTAGATTGATCGTGGAGGCTGAGGTCTCACCGTCCATGTGGAAACGCCTGATCGAATAGTCGAATGGACTCACATTGGCATTTTTTTGACGAGTTACCTGAACCTACGTTTTCTATGAGTGTTCTGTCTTTTCTATTTTCTTTATTTGTTTGTCAAAAAATATTCCTAAACCGAAACTCCCTCATTCTATTGCAGTTTTTCGCTCCGTCTCGCGCTCAATTAATGCTCGTCACTTTTGCGCCGCTAGATCTGATACACGCACGCGTATGATTGGATTTAGAACGGACCGTGAAATTGAACATGCCAGGCGATCATTCTCGAGCAAATACTCTGACATGTTTAGACCGGGTTTACAGGTTTTATTTTGGCATACGATTCCACAATTTGCTGTGTTCTGGAGTTCCAGAAGCTAACGCGTTCGCTAAAACTCCGCAGTCGTTCATCAAAAGGAAGCAAATCTCAGAGAAGATCATCTTTAGCACTTGGTGGCAGGCTTCCGCAGCCAGAGTCGTTTCGAATGCCCTTGGCTCTCCAGGCGCCACCCCGTCGCAGGCCGTTTTGGCAAAAACACTTCTCTGCAGCGCACCACCATCACCGTCGCGCGTTGGCATTGGCGCCACTAGGGCTGTTGTGGCGCTGCGCCTGCCACTTGCAAAGTGGGCCGGTTAGGAGATGAACTGCGCGGGAGGACAACGCCCCTTTCGCCGAAGCGCTGCGCTCCGCGCCGTGCGGGCGAGGCGTTGGCCGCGGCGCCGCAGCGCTGGCGCCTCGACGCGGAAGTCCTCTGGCTCGGGCGGCTCTCGCCTCCGCCGCCGCGCGCAGTGGCTTCACCCACCCGCAGGGTATAAAGGGCCACACCCTAATAAAAATCCCTTTAAAACATATATTTTTAATTAAAACACTAAGACTTTTCACATTTGAATATGTACGATCTTTGACTTCTTTAACTTCTTTAAATTCAAGCTTTTCATTTCCAAAATTGTAAGCTTTCTACTCAACGAACTTTTCTATTTGTTTCTTAAATGAAAGGTAGTGAATCCTAGAGGTTTCCTTACTTGCTATTATTAATCGAATTTGTTATAGAAATGGTAAATATTAAATAATATCTTAAAATTGAATTGAATGAATTAAAATAATCTGCAGTTATGTGTTTCTGTTGTTATTTTCCCGTTTCGTTGTGCGTGTTGCATTTCATCTTTCGAAAGCAGTCATCGTTCTCTCGCCTGTAATCACGCAATGAATCGCGTGTAATCGTGTGTGTGTTGAATGGACAATTGAATTAAAATGTGTGTGGGTTTATAATCATTAGAAAAACAAAGGTGGCAATATTTGTAGAGCGAGGATCAATGAGTATCAGTTTAGTACCCACTTCTCCGTTAGTTACTACGAAATTTTTTACGGGTAACCACTAGTTATCATTCAGTTTAAATCGATAAGCACACAATATTTTGTAATAAATTTGTAGTTGCAATAGTAAAAAATGGAGGGGTGGAAGGTGTCTTAATGTGTCTTCGGGTCTTTCCGTCTGTGTGTATGTGTGTGTGTCTCTCATTGCCTGACTCTGTTTCTGTTTGTTTCTTCATGTGCGTCTCTGCCTTCCTCTGTCTCTCCCTGTATTCTCTCTCTCGAGAGAAATGTCTCAATCGCAGGGGCAGAATACGCAACGAAGAAGTCTTAATAATCGTATTTTAGTGTGCAACGGGTTGCGTCAAGTGCCATTACGTAGAGCGCCCTATAAGAGAGCGCTTGAGTCAGCATAAAATCATCATTAACGCGCGTATGTGTACGCAGGAATTCCCATCGTACTACGCCTATATTCTTTCTGGAAGTGCAAGCAATACGTTGACAAACTTTTATTGCAATCTGATGAACAGTGCGGCTGCGCATTAATTATGAATAAAAAAATTGTTTTTATATATAAGTTTATATATTACACACGGTTTAGAAAATAATGATTGAAAATAATAAGAATCACGGAAAACTATTCAGTAACAAAATATTTTTGTTTTGGTTCATGCTTGCATTTGTGCCGGCAGCACTCGCTTCGTCCCGCAAACGCATGCCCGCCCCGCCCCCGCACCGCACCGCACCGCCCATCCGGCCCTAACGCGCATCGCGGCTCCCCCGTCATTTGGCAACGGAACCACGTCGGCCGCTCGCGCCCCGCCCCCTCCTCGTGCTCTATTTGTTATGGTGGGGGTGACTCGCGGAGCAGCGAAGCGACCACAGTGGTGGTTTTCTGCCCCTCTGGGCAGCGGGGTACAAATTACGAATCCGACCGAGGAGAATTTGTGGTGCACGTAGCGGGTTCGCGGCCAGGTTTTCTCGGAGTTCACTCGTTTCGACGATTTTAACACCGGGGCACCATCGCCAATTCTTACCATGTCATCGTAATCGTCTGGGCATAAAATCATTAATCCATTCCAGGGCTGGCCATGTTACTGAGATTCTGACCTCACAATAAGGAATAACAATATATTGTCATAATGGGGGCAGCTTATAACGTCGCCAAACTGCCTCGCTGCGAGCTTTCTAAATCTTGAGTTGTGGGATACAAATGACGGCCGCTGTTTGTGAAATTTGTGGTGGACCACAAGACGAGCGGGCTGCGGTAGCTTTTGTTGGAATTCGTTTCTTTTCACCGCAACTCCTAGTGGTTTTTCTCTAGTCCCGGATTATTGGGGTATACGTACTATAATCTTTGTCATCCTCGCACTAAGTTTAATTGCGAATTGGTGAACGCGAATGCTCTGCTATAATGATTAACAACAATAAACGCTGATCCTGTATTATTTTAACGATATTCACGGTAATGGTGTGTACTTATGCGTCTTTCATGACATTACATTTATGATCATTTCCCGGTGGGTCAAACGTGTCATGATTACATACTATAAATCGCTTCTCCCGGGGAATCGGATCAAAAAGTTTCACAATCAACGATTTTTCGCGTATGGAGTTTCTATTTCTTTTGTTTAAAGTAAAGAAATTGTTTTCTTTTTTTATTATTCGTATTCTTTTTGACGATCACGAATATATATTTAATCTGATTTTACATAAAGTGATCCAAAAAATAAATAGAACTTGTACAAAATCACGGCGTGAAAGTTACTGATTTGAAGGAAAGGAATTGAAGGAAACGGCTGTACGAACCAGCGCCAGCAAGCGGCAGAAGGCGGAAGTTGCGCGAACTCAAAGGCCACTCGGCTACTTCCGTTTTCGCGGCGCGCCTGTGGTTTTCCCCTTCTGGACCCAAAGCTGGAGTGCGCTTTCTTGTCATCATCCTTACTTTTTTCATTCTTAGTTTCCCTCTTACTTTACGCAGAACCTCTTTCTCTCTCCCTCTGCAGGCAGAACTTTGTTTTCGGCCCAGAAGCTGCAAGCTCTAAGGATGATCGCTACGCGACCGAAATTATTATAAGCTGAATTAAAATATTGATACCTGACAATATCTTTATTTATTTATCATAACTAATCTCTATTATATTTTAAAAGTACGTACGATTAATTTAAAGGAAAATGTATATTGAAAACAAATCTCCACATAAGAAACAATACCTGTTGTCTCTA